ACCATCTGAACTACAACAAATTAAGGTATGTGTTGTTAACAATTAAATACGGAGAACGTAAAGATGAGTGAGTATTCCTCAACTCTGAACAATCTGAACTACAACAACTTAAGGTATGTGTTGTTAACAATTAAATACGGAGAACGTAAAGATGAGTGAGTATTCCTCAACTCTGAACAATCTGAACTACAACAACTTAAGGTATGTGTTGTTAACAATTAAATACGGAGAACGTAAAGGTGAGTGAGTATTCCTCAACACTGAACAATCTGAACTACAACAACTTAAGGTATGTGTTGTTAACAATTAAATACGAAGAACGTAAAGTTGAGTGAGTATTCCTCAACTCTGAACAATCTGAACTACAACAAATTAAGGTGTGTTTTGTTAACAATTAAATACGGAGAACGTAAAGTTGTTCAGATTGTTCAGTGTTGAGGGATACTCACTCAACTTTACGTTCTCCGTATTTAATTGTTAACAACACATACCTTAATTTGTTGTAGTTCAGATTGTTCAGTGTTGAGGAATACTCACTCACCTTTACTTTCTCTGTATTTAATTGTTAACAACACATACCTTAAGTTTACGTTCTCCGTATTTAATTGTTAACAACACACCTTAAGTTTGTTGTAGTTGTAGTTCAGATTGTTCAGTGTTGAGGAATACTCACTCAACAAATTAAGGTATGTGTTGTTAACAATTAAATACGGAGAACGTAAAGTTGAGTGAGTATTCCTCAACTCTGAACAATCTGAAATACAACAACTTAAGGTATGTGTTGGTGAGTGAGTATTCCTCAACACTGAACAATCTGAACTACAACAACTTAAGGTATGTGTTGTTAACAATTAAATACGAAGAACGTAAAGTTGAGTGAGTATTCCTCAACTCTGAACAATCTGAACTACAACAAATTAAGGTGTGTTTTGTTAACAATTAAATACGGAGAACGTAAAGTTAAAAGTTGAGTGAGTGTTCCTCAACACTGAACAGTCTGAGCTACTAAACATTATAACATGTAATTTGAACACCTGAATACCCAGAAAGTAAAGGGATATGTCCCTCAATATAAAACCCATAAACTTGAGATATATTAAAGAAACAAAACATAAAACACTCCGTTTGAAGATATGTTAGTATATATATATAGGAAGAGAGGAGAAGAAGAAGAAACAGACATTGGAGGTAATTCACTCCATTTTCATGAGCGGTGAATTTCACATCCTGAGAAAAACTCGTACTTTGAAAAGATTCACTCTTTACTTTATCCAATGAAAAAATATTTCACTCCACACAACGTTTATTACTTCAATATTTCACTCCACACAACGTTTATTACTTCAATATTTCACCCCACACAACGTTTATTACTTCAATATAACACTCCACACAACGTTTATTACTTCAATATTTCACCCCACACAACGTTTATTGCTTCAATATTTCACTCCACACAACGTTTATTACTTCAATATTTCACTCCACAAAACGTTTATTACTTCAATATTTCACCCCACACAACGTTTATTACTTCAATATTTCACTCCACACAACGTTTATTACTTCAATATTTCAGCTACAAAACTTCTTTACAAGCGCTATTGTAAAAAAAAGTAGAAACAGATAACGAAATTTGACAGCATTTTTTGCTATAAACTAATCATATTCGTGTCGTATGTGTGCTCTTTATTTTCTTACAAAAAAAACAGGTAGTAGTCATATGAGAAAAGGTTTTAAGCCTCGTCGTTTAATCAGAGTTATAATAGTGACTTATATATATGTTTATATCAATGATATAAATAAATTGGCAGATAGCCTTTCAGCAGCATAACGAAATGGTTTATTATGCCTATATATCGTTGTTTGCCACTTTATTGTTATATTAGCATAACTATTCCATATTCCAATACACTGTATTCTTATTGATCAAGTTATATCATTATATTGAGCAGTTAAAAGTGTGTTTCTATTGCTTCAAACTTTTCTTCAATCTACAACCTACGTAAACTACTAATAATTCATTCCCAATTAATTAGTAATTACATATTAATTAGTAATTACATATAAGTTTCTTTACTCTTGTCGCCTCCTGGTGATGCGTTTTTAAATCATGTTTCGCAGAATGTAAGAATATAAGTAATAGTTATTTGTTCACGATAAACCAGCACTTCCTGACTCAAACCTATATTTTTAACGCAAGTTCTAACAATTTATCACGCAATTCTTTTTTTATAAAATTTATGCTTTGAAGTGAAAGTAAACGTGTTGATGTTTATGATATCACATAAAGATTCAAATGAAGGTTTGTTGGGCTGGATTTTCTTTAAACCCGAAAGGTTCTACTAATTCAGAGCTCAAGTAAAATTCATTAAAAATCTTAAATTTTTTTTAGGTCATTCTGTCAGATTCTGATGGGATGGTTCACTTATAGAAATGAACGACTAGATTGTATATTTCCGATAATAAACTAATTATTTTCGGTTATTTGTGTAAAACAGTCCTAGTTAATATATTTTTGAAGATATATATATATATATCAATATGTAATGGCTTTCTCTCTAAAAATATACAATAATAAATAACAAGAACAAACGTTTTGAGTCTTAACCTCGATAAGGTAATATAAATGACAATTGAATATTTCAGAGGACTAAAGTGAGTGCTTGAACAAGAACAAATGTTTGAGTCTTAACCTCAATGAGGTAATATAAATGGCAATTGAATATTTCAGAGGATTGACTCACTTTAGTCCTCTGAAATATTCAATTGCCATTTATATTACCTCATCGAGGTTAAGACTCAAACATTTGTTCTTGTTCAAGCACTCACTTTACTTGACTCAGGACTGAAGAGGAACAGCTGCTGAAGAAAGAGAACTGATGGAAAAGCTATTGTTTCTGGGTGATTCTTTAAAGGACTGAAGAGGGACAGCAGTTGGAAGGGGTACATTGGACCAGTGTGGTAGTTTAAAACTATTGGTTTAACATGAAGTTTCTTCTCTTCTGTCATCTTTGTTTCCTGGGTGGAATTTGGGCTACTTTACGATCTTCAATCATCAGAGAGTCCGTCAGAAATTCTCCAAAACCCAATATTACGTTCGGAGTAATTCTTCCCAGATCTTTGCTTATTACAGTAACACGTTCCTACGGCAAAAGACTAGGCGAATCTTTCCAGGCTTTTACAGACAGCAAACAATTAAAATATACGTTCAAAGATTATTACAGAATTTCTACGCCTCCTGTGGCCAACATGTCCTTAAATCCGAGTCCAACAGAAATCCTCAATACTTTGTGCAATATTGTAGTCAAGAGAGACGTTGTCGCTATTCTGTACTTCACTAACTCGGAGATATACGGTAGTAACGCGGCATCTGTACAATACCTTCTACAGCTCACAACGTACATGGGAATTCCTGTTATTGCCTGGAACGCTGACAACATTGGAGTGGAGCAGGTAAGAACGTTACATTACATGGTTCTCGCAAATAGCACAGAGAATAATATAAAATTTTCTTATTTCCTGTATACTCTTGATACTTAAAATCGTAAATTTCCTATTTATAGAGGGAGCTTTAATATTTTGACAATACTGCTATACCGGTTGAATAATAAATATCTTTCTTACACAACTTCCTTTAAATAAATAAATAAAAGTCCTTCCATAATTCAAATTCTAAATCTTATATTTTACAGTTTCGTCGCTATATTTGTCATAAACTTTGCTAACTGTAGGATTAATTTAGTCATCTGTCACCATGACAACCAGACTTCCCGTTCTTTTCGTAGATGATGGCATTTTAAATTTAGTATTGATAGCGAAATATTCAGTTTATAGATCATCCTTGTCAAAAAATCTTTTTTTTTTCTTCTCTTTTCTTCTGCTTTCGTCTTTCTAGACGTGCGTCGTGGCAAACTACAAAATTAAGGTTCGCTTTGGACCATTTACTCTTACGATATAATATATACACTTGCCGTTTATATACCAGGAATAAATTCAGAGGGTATAGATAGTGATCATTAAGGTTTTTCTCTCTCTGTCTTTACTATTTTGTGCATTCGGATGTCACTTCTTTATTTACGAAGCGCAGGCTATTTGTCAGTAAATCGATATATAACTACTCAACACTCGCGTAGATACAGTGTCAAGTACAAAATGTTGTTCTTATCACCGACGTATCAGTGAGTGTCTTGTTGGTTTTTCCATACTTACAACAGAATACTTTATGTGTTATGGACTGAATATTTTTAAGATAAGACAGCTGTGAACCACTATGTGAGACGAAGAAAATACATAAAAAAAAAAATCCCAAGTAAATCCTACTAACCCGAGCAGCTTTCTGTCTGTTTGTTAAATTTCGCGTAAAGCTACTCCAGGGCTATCTTCGCTAGCTGTCTTTAATTTATGAGAGATAAACCAGAGGGAAGGCAGCTAGTCAACACCACCCCACACTAACTCTTGGATTACCAACGAATAGTGGGATGGACCGTACCATTATAACGCCACACGGCTGAGAGGGAGAACACGTTCGGTGATCCGCAGGTTCCGAGTCGAGGGGCCCATCCACCTCACATTTCTGGGTTTCTTGTATTGTCGTATAAAAAAAAATATAAGGAATTAGATACAGTTTAACAAGAAAAAAGTCAAACAAATATTTTTTTTTCTCCATCGCAAGTAAAGATGATCTGTTGTTATTATGACTTCCTTAATTCATAGGATCTTAATATATCGTTCTTAATTCATGGTTGCCACAATGTTAAACTGTTCATATAGGACCTTAATGTATCGCACTTAATTCATGGTTACCACAACGTTAAACTGCTCCTATAGGACCTTAATGTATCGTCCTTAACTCAGGGTTGCCACAATGTTAAACTGCTCCTATAGGACCTTAATGTATCGTTCTTAATTCATGGTTGCCACAACGTTAAATTGCTCCTATAGGACCTTAATG